ACCCTGGGGTGCACCGCATTCCACTCAATCGGGTCGAACAGAATGTTCGGATTCTAACCTCCAATTGCCCTTAGTGGAGAAAGTTATCACCCCATCTTACCACTGGATCGCTGACACTGCACAGCTGCAGTTTGTGCAAGAGGATTCCATGATCCAAGTGATTGGAAGCTTTCGAAGAACCCATGTACATAACATCGGTTGCCGTCCCCTCGTCCACTGTTTCGGTTTAATTGCCAGTTGCTATCAGCAGATTCGGGGTACGTGATCGATGTTTACGAAATCCGTGGTGCTACGGCGCACTGATGCCGTAGTTTTCCAGGTAGCGTATTAGTACGTCCGCGATGATCGCTTCCATGAGTTTGGCGAGCACAGGGAGAGGCGTTGCCGGACGGTAATCGGCAGGATCAGACCGAATTCGCCCCTTGCGAATAGGGGTTATTATATCTCCTTTCCACGTTGAGGGAACTATGTGTTCATCAAGACAACACTGAAAGAATCCGGCAAGTGATTGGGCTAGGTGCATGGCTGCTACCTGCAGTGCTTTAGGGTGAATATTATCCACTCCAGATGAACTACGTGTACGCAAGGATAGTGGCTCTTTCAGTACACTTTCTGCTATTAATGTGATGCAGTATAACACTTATGGTGTGATGACAGAAACATGGATAGGGTTTTTTGTACCTTTTGGAAAGGAGGCAAGTACTGGGCCCATAAAGCGTTGGCCGCCTCTTTTGCCATGCGTGTTTACCCATCAATCGTAGTGTGTGATGGGATTCCGCGCTACATTTTTCGAAATCCATTCTTGTGTCCGTAAAGAAGCTTGTGGTTCGAACAGAATGGTTTCACTAACTCCAATTGATGTGATACCTTGTCGTCACGAGCCAACTGAACACGATAATTGCGCTGAGCTACATACGCTGTCCAGTATTTTGCGCTGGCATTTTTTCTTTAAAGGCGCCATGTCCGATTCCTCAAGGCCGTACATTTTGGTGTTCGGCTTCTCAGGAAGGATTTTAATTTGATGGGGCGGTGAAACTATTTTTGCGCTGATGCTTGGTGACTAGTGACGTGAAGGTTTTCAAGAATTTTTCCCAGGCTATCTCTGGGGTGCACTCAGTCATGAATGTCCAACTACCATTATCAACGAATGGGGACATAGCCAGATAGTGCGTAATAAATTACATCTTTCCATGCTCTGCATCGGAGTATTCGGTGTAGTAAATGTAATCGAACAACAAGGTCACGTGATCGCCTCGACCCAAAGGACTGCATACATTTAACCCATCAACCATGAGCTCCTCGCTGGTGAGCACTAGATCTAACATTGATGGCTTATTTGCTGTTCTGAACCTGGTGGGATCGGTGACGTGGTTGTACAGGAGTGTGCTATAGATTAGCTCTTGTAAATAGGCCTTGAACTATTTATTATACCTTGGTTGCTGGAGTTTTTAAATCATGAATCCTGAAATGACCTGTACTGAGGATATGGGTGTATTTCTGATTTATCACAATACGAAATGCCGATATTAGTCTGTGGTCCACCTTTAAAATGGATTTGGGTGGTCGGTAAACTACGGACACGAGGAATGTATTGTCGTCTTTCAATCACATTTTCCACGAAAGGAGATCAGTGACACACGCTAGAGGATCATCTATGAACTCACAACGAAGGTTTGCTTTGTACTAAATGATCACATCCCTCCTCTACCCGTTTTGTCTTTCCGGAGTAGGAACATACCGGGTAGGGAGATTTCAGCGTCGGCAATTTCACAGCTCAGCCACGTTTCGGTGATCATTAGGATATCTCGGGACTCGGATGCCTGACGGTAACGGAATTCGACCATCTTACTAGTAAGGCGTTGTGCGTTAGTATACAAGCAGGTCAGCTTCTCAGTAACTAGAAGTGAGTCACTGGAGGTTGGACTAAGACTAAACATTGTGCTGACTGTTGATGAGTCGGCCACTAGGCGTTTTTTTGCGGAATCGTTGGCATTTGAAATTCGGTCGGGTTATATGACTGCTCTTGGCTGTCCTGGCCCAGTTGATCTCCCGTGTTTTGTCATATTCCTTCGGATGCTAAGGTTGTAATTAAATCAATCCCCTCACAGAGCTGCAGGAGGAGAAGATTCACCAGTTTTGTCGTCCCCAATCAGTCCTTAGCCATCCGGGGCCATGTGTCCGCTGCCTTTAACTGAATTTCTGTAGATAGCCTCCTGCGGAATTTAGACCAATTATTCAATCTAAGCGGTGTCATTAGCTCAGACAGAAGTATCACCTTCATCAGCCGTGGACCGTTCCCTTTGTAGTTAGGTGGAAGTGGAATTCTTGTCAACCGCTTTGCAACGATACTGTCGAGGGAGAGTTCCTGGAGGATGTAACTCCATCTGCTCCCGGTCGCGTGTCTCCGTTTCCTCAGAGAAGAATGCTTGAAGCCCAGAAACCCGGTAAACAATAATCGTCCGTTTTTCGTCGGACTTACGAACTTCTTCCTGGTTGCCATTCTCTTTAGGACTTTCGTTCCAAGGGATATTTAGAAGAATGCACACCTCATGTGATGATTTACGGAGCCGAATCAAAGCCAATAGAACGGCCTCTGTGTCATCAGTGGAGTGCATTGTCGCTCGGAGAAGTCGAGGTTCGCCAAAATGCACCGAAGTTGGCTAACTTGAAATCTATCTTAGTGTCGTGGGCCCAAATGAAATGCCAATTTCACCACAACTGAAATTCCACTGATTACGGTCGTCTACCAGCTTCCCAGTCTCACACAGTAGTTACTCTACATGATCTATGCAGCCCAAGTTTCGGCATGTAGAGGGTCCTTGTGAACACCTGACGGTTTCCTTACGAAATTATCTTCTTATTCCGCTGCCCAGAAATGACCCAGTTTACTCTTGACGATGGACGCATTGCTGCTTTGCGGCTTGGGTAACCAACGCACCGAACCTTGTTACAAATGTTTCTCGGGCCGTTTCTTAGACGTAATTGGTTAGGAAGGTCCAAATTACCTCCCTAAAGTCGATATGCATGACAACATTCATGTTACAAACATCTTGTGGATACTCCATATCGACAGTGTAGTCAATCAAAGGACTTCCGTTTTCGTTACGACTCCAAAAGAGTGCTTGTAACGATCACCTTTACTAAAAATTCCTCTTTGGTGAGCACAAGATCAAGTATATTTGGCTTGTTCATCGTTTTAAATGTCGTGGGAGAGGTTACCTGATGGTATACAGTTAACTATTAAAGGTTTGTTGGTAACTGTTTGCCAGTGGGTGATAACACTTTCAGATTGTGGACCTTGCAGTCTCCTGCGCTGAGGATGTGACAGTATCTCCGGTTCAGTGTAACCTTCCAAACATCCCCCAGGCTCTAGTTCATTTCCAACGCAATTTCTGGTGAACGATAAATTGTTTTGCAGCCATAGACAGTACCGAACTGGACAGTCCGTTATTTCGTTTCAAAACCGCCTAAGTGATATTTTGCAAACTACGCACCTCACAAATCAGCCAAGAAACTGGCACGGTCTCATTGAAATAGCAAATCAGATATGATCTACGTTTGCGTCGACCTATGGAGCTGTGCCACGTAAACGTATGGTAGCCTTTTTCATATTAGTTGATTGCAATCGTGCTTCTGCTTCTGGGAACCAAAGTGGCCTTTCGGATTGTTTGAATGAGGTACTTGTTCCCGAACGTTACTAGCACGGGCACCTGAAGACTGTACGGTGTATGTCCGGGGAAGAATTGTACTCTATACCAACTACATTACAACCCTCTGACACTATCTCCTTGTTGTAGGAGGTTGCTCGCCGTTGTTTTATCCATTTTCATTTGCTATCGTTGAAATCACGGGTATCATAGTTGGAGTACACCACGTATAGGCAAGTTGTACCGGGCCCCACAAATTCCAGCGACGCGATTTCGTTACGGTAATCCACGATTTCATTCACACTTGCCATCTAGCCCCTTCGGTTACTGACTCCTTGGTTGTTTACACTTCCACATCCGTGTGCTAAATTTTTATCGTAAACTGGTTGATTCCTCCGCATTAATTGACCTAAATTAGAACAGATGCGTCCGAGTTGGTTAGTATGTAACGTACTAGAGATGGAGCAACATACCTCGTACTGAACAATGGACTTACCTCGGCCAGTCTTCGTCAACCTCAACAAGGAACTGATGAAGATCGTCGTTTGCTAACTGGTGTATAAGCGGTACTGGTCTTACAGTCCACATGTTGTTTCGAATTCTAGTCAGTGTAACCCGTTTCATATTCGAGCCGAATGAGTTGGACCACTCCAACTCTTCGAATAGTAGCACCCAAGACAGTTCTCACTAGTAGAACTGCACACCTACCGGTATACTTTGCGTTGTTTGCACCAGTAAACTGTATGAGACAAGCGGGAAGAAAATCGAGCTGCGAAATAGCCAGCAGCTGTTCTTCACCTCACGGTACACAAGTGTGTCCTATAGATTGGAAACGAGTGTATGTGTGTGTTGAATTCAACAGGTGTGCTTAAGGCATTGCTTACTCTTTGCTTGCTCCATATGTTCCCACTTTACAAGAAAGCAAATACACACACACACACACACACACTTTAATCTGCTTGATTTGCAACCGCCATTCTACGTCGGGTTGTGATGCAGGCGTCTGCGTTCACATCCAACTTCTCCAGTGGATGAACGGATGACCAGTCTGCGTTAAGTCTTTATAGCTGCGGTATGTCTGCTAAGTTTGTTCAAAATGTTTAGCCAAATGTGGGCGTTCATCTCGGTTGCATTATACATCGCTCTTTGGAAGTTCAAGGTGGATCGTGCAAACATACCTTAGGCGAATAACTATGAGTTAGCCGACAGCTAGCTTCAGTGTGTTAGATATGAACTTAGTTCATCCACTTGAGTGAGAAACCTGCTGGCTATCGTGAATCTCCTCTCCGTATGGTGACAAAAGTTGCGATCCCATTCTCCCCGCTAATCGCATTATGTTCTTCTCATCCACAGGAATGGTTATTGGCAGAAATTAAAAGATTGGAGCAAATCGAACATTTGGCTCGTAAATTCAGACTCAAGTGCGGTATTCACGAGGCTTGGTCATATGGGAAAGCGGCTGAGCTCGAAAAGCGAGATTACGAAGGAGCCAGTCTGTCCAGTTTGCGAGCAATGGCTCAGAAGCATGACGCCTTCGAAGTTGATCTCGGATCACACCAGGACAGAGTGGAGCGGATTGTGGCCATTGCTGAGGAGCTAAAGTGAGTGGACACATTTTCATGGGTATTTTATCTCTGGCTGAACTGGCATGATTCTCAATTCACAGTTCTCCTCCCCGATGCAGACCAGATAGTAGATGGGTCATGCGAAAAACACTATGACCTTCGGGGTGCGCTTATTTTGGCTTTATGAGTTTACGTTCACCAGTTGAGATGCGCTACGATTCCCTCGAGCATCACTGATCCTGTTGTCAACTCCCTTGGTGCTCACACTGTTTCTACTTTACAGTTTCTTAGTTTTTAATTTGTTTGTCAACACACGGACCATGTGTGCTTTCGTGTGCTCAAATAACCTGGGTTAGGAAGTATGCATTAGCCTGCAACAACGCTATTAAAACAAGATTGCATGTTAATTAAATATATACATTGATTAAAAATATCTAAGCCCTCAACTTGTCTTCTTTTCCTCTTGTGGGTCACTAATTACTACTTCGCATCCACCGATGGAATGTGGGCATAGCTGGCTGCGTTGATCACCATCCACAGGTGTTCCGATTACAAGACGAAGTGATTGCTATGCTCTCGGTAGCATGCCATAAACATTGCCAATGTGACTGGTGTCCCACACGTTTGTTTCGCAGAAGTATATTTGGTGCCCAAACACACTTACCGGACCATAAGCCGAGAGGTGTCTCTAATAGAGGTCTGCGTCATGTGCGTTGCAGTAGTGGACAGTCGTCATCAGCGACGTTCGTTTTTTGGCACCCAAAACACTGATAGATCCATCAAGATCACTTATCCAAAGAGGATTTGGGAACTCATGAATGTACACAAAGGCATCTAGACTGCAGTATTGTCTTTCCGTGTTAAGGACGCTTGACAACCCACTGTGTCTTAGCAATATGGTAATCTCAGGCCGCATGTCTCACCTCATTTGCTTTTAATCAGCGCCGTTCACTAGGCTTCGCGCAGAAGGGAGTTCACATTGCCGAATAACACATCACTCATAAACCATGCATTGTACATGTTGAACCGAAGACTAAGACTAGGGTGGTCTTTCGACAGACGCATCTGACATAGGGTGGCTTTCAGTTCATCTGATCTGCCACTCCGCGTAGCTGCTCCCTTCCACATCACTTGAGACAAACCGGTCTACCAATGGACTCAAAGATGACGATTGGGTGTCGCCCTTCTGCAAAACTACTCAACTCGATCATTTTCGTACTTGGTTTGACGCATCAGGTAGAGATAGTATAATTGCGACTCGAACTCGGTACCATTAGGATGTTAGTTGGGACCGCCCACACTTTCGCCACTGGGTCAAGACAGGCAACGCTTGTCACCCCGACTAACGACGGCCTACAGGGGTAATGACCCCTGAAGCACTCGTTGTGTGAATGGAGAGCGGCACGCTCGGATCCACGATTCACTTCGAAGGGAACTTTGATCACTGGACAGAATCTGAAGCAGATGAATGTTTGGTGTTTATCGTTCGCAACGTTGCATTGCACTCCAATGAAGCAGTCAGCCACCGTTCTGACAATTGCTGCCCGCGGTGACTGTGGTGGAGACTTCGACCGACATCTTACAGCTTCCGCGTTAAAATTGTAGTCCTGCTATCTCTCTACCTGACAAGTGCAAACGAATCAGAAACCAGCCATTGAGTGCAGCGTTGTGCGCGGACAACGCCCGACATTCATTTGGTTTATGAATAGTTCGAACACCATAAGTGTGTGCATTGTCCTCAAGGCTCTTATATTTAACCCTTTCAACTGGTGTTCACAGACCGGACCGAATTAGGACAGAATACGACATTTGTTCATCAGCACCCCTCGGAGAAACTTGGTCCATTCGGTCAGGTTGCTGTACTGAACTACCTTCACTTATTCAACAAGCTGAAAAAGAATTTACGTTCGCCGCATTTTTCTTCTGTCTCATCCACCTGCCGATCAAAAGTATTATTGTTCGCCACCACCAACTACCACAGTGGAAATCGGTGTAGATATCTTGTTGGCTTTGCTCCCTTCCACTTGGCCCACCGGCTGACTGATAGATGTCTGATGGGGACGCTTCCACAGGGAGAGCCAACGAAGTCGGTGCACACTTGAAATGAAACATCTTACGAGATTGTGGAAACAGATCCGAAAGGTAGAGGGGCTTCTTCTTGATAAGACCAAATCGTGGTTGTGCCATCTTCGTCTCTTCTCAGTGCACCCACTTAACCTTTGTGTGGTGTATCTCGCGCATCCGGACGGAAGTGTATAGTCACCTTCATTTTCATTTGCTTCGCTTCCTAACAGTGGCAAAAGACGAGGAGGCTTAAATTTTTTATCACTTTCCCTTACTTTTCCATGACTAACCTGCGTATTCTTTGGTTCGTTCCAGCCAAATGCCCGATAATAACGATAGTTTGGGGTGAAATTCACACAAGTGAACAGTTGGTTAAATCTACAAGTGTTATTGTTCCCAGTATCCTAATCTCTCCGGTACCTCCAAACAGCCACTCACTACGAAAATCCGTTTAGGATCCATTGTATACATCGTGAACAATAACATATTTTATGCGATTTCCTTGTACAAATGGAGTAGACCACTCAGTTGGATTTTGCCTCACATCGGCGAGAAATATGCCGGTTAGTTATTCATCTATTTACATACTAAGAGCTCTGCACTTATGCAGGTGTTCCTGTAATCCAAGCATGCAGTCAATAGGGCTGTTCAGTCTGACTGACAATTGGTTGAATCCGTAAGAGGGAAGCAAGATAACACTGTGTCCGCTGTGCGTCTTTTTATTTCTATAGCCTGACTACTATATGTGTACAGGCTTGATGAGGGTTTTCGCGGATTTGGTTCTGTTAATTATAACACATAGCCTGGTTAATTGGAGGAGGGGGACTACACTTGTTGGGGCTACTGGCCCACCTGTGCGTTTTCTGTCCATTTCGATGTCTGTCGCCCAGCTCACTGTACTTTTCCGGATGAGATTGAAGCACCAAGTGCCTCTCACTGCTTTGTATGGATGTCCCATTCAGTGGGAAGAGCTCCGGTAGTTCGCATGACAGCTACAACACATTTGTGCCCATTGACAATGGTTACCTGTGCGCCACTTGAACTGCAGCTGTTCTCGAGTCCATTCGGTGGGTTGCGGGATGTTGTAGGAGTGGGGCAAACAACTTGATTTCACACGATTCTTCTGGTGCACAGTTTTCTTTGCCCAACCTTGTTCACAGGTGCATTTCTGCAGATGCTTACTGAAGGGGTGTGAATATTTCCATAACAAATACCCGGTGGAATGAACCGCCAGATTACAATCAGAGCATTTCACAGAATCGGCTCAAGGTCCGTTTACTAAGCATGGACATACACTGTCCACTTTGGCAACAAGTATACTGCGAATACTGAGAATATGTGGCGAGTAGAGTTGCCTCTGTGTAGCTACATCTAATATCTTTTAAGCAAATTTACCTATTGTGAGGATGCTTATCCTCGAAATCTCAAGTCGGTAAAATGCGAGTCCAGGAGTTTCTTAAACTCAGACACCGACTTTGCTTCGACTATATATGTAGGCAAGTTGATCCAAGTATTCATCACCCTCCGCTTGAAGCAGAGTTGCTGAGCGACCCGCTTCAAATCCGGTACGACAAGCTTGTGCCTGTGTCCTCGTGTGCTGCTTCTTAGGCGCAGATGAGGCAGCGGCCTCAACATAGGGTAATCACCCAGATGTTGCGTCATGATGAGGTCAACCCGAATTCGACAACCCTAGTCTCTTGCACCGGTCTTCATATGGCACACCTCATAAACCGGGGATTAACCTTGTGGCAGCATGTTATACCCGCTTAATCCTTTGCATCTCGCCCCGAGTGAGCGGACAGTAGGCGGGTGAGCTTTGCTCTAGCATTGGTCTGATAATAGAAGAGAAGAGGCGGTTGGCTATCTCTTCGCACCAAACGCAGAATCTCCCTTTGATATATGTATTTATTCACAGTCTGTTAACAGACAATGAGTCATCAAAACCATAGCAGAAGAAAAATAAACGTGAAGAAGATGGGAACACTAATTGCGATTTAAAAATATGGGAAATAATTTTTTTTATTTTTACACACACCATTTTGTATTTTTGTTTTGTTTTGTGACTTTTCGTGTGCATCAAAGGGATGATGAAATTGCAGAACAACATTGACGCCACTGATGTCTGTTGCGGGCCATGACGTCCAATGTTTCTAATCTCTGCGATTCAGCATCTCGTGATCCCCATCCTGGAAGGCGGACTGGTCCGACTGCCGCCAAACTTGAGATTGCATTTTTCATACTTCTTCTCCACGTCATCGGCTGTCCACCACGGCACTTTTTCCAATCGCTCCTTGAGAGTGCAAATAGCGCTCGACGTGGAAGGCGATGGGCTGGCATGCGCAAAACGTACCCGAGCCAAAGCATGCGATGTCGGAGAATAACGTCCTGAAGCCTGGCACCATTCGCCCCAAGCACGCGGTCTCGCACCTCTGCGTTGCTTACGTGGTGTTGCCACCACACCCTGGCAATCCTTCGTAGACAGCGATTGCCAAAGACTGACAGCCGCTTCATATCTTCCGAGCGAATAGTCCAAGTCTCACAGCCGTACTAGAGTAATGCACGGACGGGAGCATGGTACACCCTGCGCTTGAGCTTGAGACTGACATCACGACGACGCCATAGGTGTCTCAGTTTGATGAATGCAAGGCGGGCCTTTGCAGGGCCTTGTGAGGGCCTTTGTGAGGCTTCATCTCCAACAACACCACCAGCCGTGATGCAACTCCCTAGATAAGTAAAGCAAGGGACTTGCTCCAGAACATGTCCAGCAATGGTGATCGCGGGTTCAGGCACCTGCCAGTCCTGGAGCAGCGTTTTACATTTTCCCGGAGTGAAGCACAAACCGTACTTAGATGCCTCCATCGCCAAGCGGTCCAAAGCGCTCTGGACGGATTGTGGGTTGTCCCTCAGTAAGGCGATATCATCGGCGTAGTCCAAGTCCGTGACTCTGTCTCCAGGGAGGAGCTCAACACCGC